GTCGACAGGTGGTCACGAATCATGGTCACCCATGGTGTGTGTCCGCCTCTCTCGCACACGCTCCGTCGAACAATTAGGAGAAGGTGGACTGGACGGTGGCAACACATTAGGCTACCTCGACTGGAAAAAACGAAACACGTTTCGAGACAAAGCGTTTCCAGCCTTTTCGAAAATAACGTACCGGCGGCTCGTATATATATAGGTCGCACGACGCTGTGGGGAATTTATGGTGAATTTTTAGTTGTAACTAAACTGCCGGCAGTGTTACCAATGATGGCTGCTAGTCCAGGTAAACTGTACTAGCTGCACCTTCGCCTTTCCTTTGTATCGTCCAACAGCAAACTATCACTTCGAATAAAATTGACATGCAGCATTGGAAATAATTCGAACGGTATTTAACACGAAATTTTTGTATTATCTTTCAAACGTGCGATATCGTTTGAATTTAAAGCAGCCATCAAGTACAATGTACAAGAGTCTAATGATACCTAAATAGTTTCAATTTTTGGAAAAATAATATCATGTACGTTCTTTTGAACTTACGTAAGAAATAATAAGAAGTCTAGTTTATGTGTTTCTGTTCAGATTATTATTATACGTTGTTCGTCCATGCACCACCAAATGTATACGTTCGTTATAATTATCAGCAAGTTATAAAAAGAGAAAGAAAGGGACATGCAGTCGAATGCAAAGGATTAAAAATAGTTAGAAATCTTTGGGGATTGAAGAATCGAAGAGCTTGAACGCTAAACGTACGCAGTTATACATTCGATTCTCGAAATTTGATTAAATTGAAATTCTGCGTTAAATCATTGTTATTTCTCTCGTTGAAGAAAGATGAAACTAAACAGTTCTTTTTTTATTTTTTATCATCTAAAAGTTATTCTCTGCATTGTTTACTACATTAAAAGTAATTCGAGAGCAAAACCAATAGATAAATGACAAGTTGGTTGCAATATGTGGAAATGCAAGAAGAACGAGTGACTCAAAGAAAAAAAAAAAAAAACAATTAAGATACATCTATAGTATTTTAAATTTAGTTTGTTATTATATGTAATGTAGCGACTTCAATTAATATTCGAACACTAAATATTGAAACTGTTACAATTTTGTAAAAAAAAAAAAATCGCACAATAATAAACTTTAAATATATTTCTGAAGTTTTTATAAATGTTCAAATTGATGCATTTTGAATCAGACAATTTCTTTTTACAAAAATTACAACACTTTCCACCACTTAATTCCACATACATTCATAGAAAGTTCGCAATAAGCGTTCGAACAATAATAATAGTTTTCATGGGTATTCGCTGTATACGTGTAACTCGGAAAAAATTACGATCTTTGGTTTTCTTTTTCTTTTTTTTTTTTTTTTTGCTCGCTGCGTGTTTCTACGAGGAGCATATTTGGAAGAAAAATGGGAGCCAAGCTATTCCGGTATCCGGGCAGAAGTCCCACTTCAGACAGAATATAATTTCTCTTTATTGGATATAGTATATCGTTTCCGTAGTGGATAAAAGCGCAGGAGATAAAGCCAAAATT